CCGTAATTACTTCCATACAGATTGTTAAAGCCAGATTCATTAGCTTGGGTTACAATGACCTACACAACACATTTAAAACCCATTTATCCTGCTTAAGAGGTTTAAAACTCGCCTCCTTTCATGAGTTGTCAGTGATTCTTGATTTATGATTTGGTCATGCTCTTACTATGGTAAAAGCCCAGTGCCTCAAGGTTGCCACAATACATCCATAATTGAACAGCAACAGCTCTAATCTTCAGCTTGGGTGACAAAAGCACTGGCTGTTGAAATACTGCCTACGATGGTGTCTGCATACCAGGGAGCACTACATCAGCTGGCAAGTCTCAGAAGGAATGACTGCACCTCAGGCATCTCAGGATCCAGCGTGCCGGGTGTTTCCTGGCAGTGGCAATACCTTCCATTTATGTATCTTAATACTTCTAAGAAATGGAAAACCAAAACCAAAAACACACCCTCCTGTTAATTTCCTCGCAAGAGCCAAGCTCTTTTACTTGAATGCTCTTCCTTTGAAGCCTTAATACTTCTAAGAAATGGAAAACCAAAACCAAAACACACCCTCCTGTTAATTTCCTTGCAAGAGCCAAGCTCTTTTACTTGAATGCTTTTCCTTTGAAGCCTGCATGAATATTATTTCAAAGGAATTTTCTTTGAGCGTTCCTAGAAATATGACTCCGTGATGCACAGTATGCTTGGGTGTTGCATCATTTTGGGGAGCCAGCTGGCTCCCAAAACAGAGCCATAAGGCTGAACCAGGCAGCGTTTTGTCCCAGGAAGGATCCCAGAACCAGTCTCTTTAGGAAACCTGACCAAACTAATGCATTTGCCCTGAACTTGCTGTAAATATGATTGGTGCACTGATGGGTGCTGATGGCCAGGTGTGGACTCTCCGATCCAAGCAAAAGAAATGTGACCCATTTCAGTGGTATCTGTGCAATGCTTTGCCCAGACTTGTTAATTTACAGCAAAACCAGTGGTTTTTGACATCACAGAGATCTGAAAGTTCCCTGGAAGCATTCTCTTGATACAAATACGTACAAAATTTGTAATGACTTTTCTTATGCAACTTTAAACAAACAAAAAAAAACAAAACAAAAAAACCCTCATACAGACCAGGGCATGCACTGATAGGAACAAGGAAGTTATTGTCTCTCTTCTCAGGACAGCAGGGACTCAAACTGGCAGAATTTGGAGATTCTCTAACACTCAGGTATATCTTAACAGTAAGGAGTAATTTTAAGAGTCACACAATCAAACTTTAAATAGTTTAGAAATAACCAAGTTTCTGTTCATGCTCATTAAATGAGAAAAAGTGACTATTCTCTTTCTCCCCACCCCTGGTTTTGGCCTCTACTATTGAAAAATGGGCTCTAAGATTACTGGATTTATTTGATGCTATATCGATGGCTTTGGCTTGAACAACAAAGCTGTGCATAAACATTACCCAGGCAGCCGGTATAAATCAGCCAGATGCAGGGGGGCTGCTCAACCTTGAAAGCAGTTTTAGGATTAATCCCTTCCCCACATGAGTCCATAACCCTCAGTGACCCAGAGCTCCCCACAATCCTACACCACCAGTTTTATCCAACCCAAACCTCACTGTCAGAGCTCACATTTGGACACACTTTAAAATTTCACAGCCCTTTTCCTTGCCTCCAGCCAAATGGACAGTCCCACACATTAACACTTCTTGAAATCCAGAGATGGTCCTTTGGCAGGTGGCCACCAAAACTCCCCCACCGTGGCTTTCTGCCATGGCCAGCCAGTGACATAACCACAAAAAATGCCTGATATTTTACCTCTCTTGCCCAGCTTGCAATGCTAGAAGCATGCATTAGATATGGTTGTCATCGGGGCCCCATAAAGAGGGAAAATGGATGAAGAATAAAAAAAAAGTTATAAAAGCAAATGACTTTATAACTCACCTTTTGTCTCACCAGATCTGCATATCTTAAAATCAATTGTTCACACAAAGTAAGAACAGATGTCAGCCAGAGTAATAAATGCAGAGGAGGAGAGTGGGAGCCCCAGGACACCAGCCAGGGATTTGCTTGGTAAAAAGCATACGACAGCACTTACTTCTTGGCCACAACCTGCATTCCAGAGGCTGGATCAGAGGGATGGGTATAAACCCTACTCTTTAATCATGATTCCTGCGGCGTATAACTGCTTCTAAACTATACACATATGTATTTTCAATATATACACACTTGATTAGTGTGGGGCATTAAGTGACATTTTAGATTATTATTTATTAGACCTTTTTTAGGGCTACAGCCAATTTCTGCAATTTCTCAGATGCTTTTCTTCATGCCATATGCTTTTTGTTAGAAACGTTATCTTTGAAAATAGGCCCAGATCATGGTGGTTAGTTTGGGTTGTTTAATGCATCAGTTCCCACTGCTAGAACTAAAGGTTCTCTCTTCCCACCCACAAAATAGCTTTGCATTAGAACAGTCTGGACAGCAAGCAAATGAGCACACCACCTAGACACTGGTCCTCGAGAGCACGAGCTAGCATCAGCGTTAGCATTCACGTGGGCATGTTGGCCGCAAATACCCACGATCTGTTCTGCAGTTCTCCTAGCCTCACAGTTTGGATTATTTGCAATGCAAGCCATTAGGCCAAAAGAAATTTGCCTCTAATACTACAGCCCACTAAATGACACATAATTCAATAATGTGTTACAACAGAATTATCTTTAAAACACAAAGTAAGATCCCTGTAGGAAAAAACACAATAACAGTCTTTGATGCCACAATTATTTGAGACTTGCTAAAATATCTTTGTAGTTAGGTGAAGAGGTGCAAAAGGACTATTCAGAACACAAATTTCCTGGGAAATAAAAGCAAAAAAAAAAAATTTAAATCAAATCTTCCATGTAAATTCCTAGTTTAATACATCTGCAATGTGCAAGATAATATTCCCTTGAAGAAAGTGGAGAAAAAGAAGTTGCATTTTATAACCACAGCCAAATAACAAAGCAACAATTAAAGATTTTTATGAAGACTACTGTGCAAAACAGCAAACTGACTGCTCTGCACCCACCTTTCCTTTCAGCTCACAAGCTGCCCGTGAGCCATTTGGGATGGCAGCCTGCCCCAAACAAGGCACTGGCTGCCATCGTGTCCCTTTTCCCTGGAGAAGTCCCCACCACCTTCCTCCTTGATGCTCTCCTACTGTGGGAACCAGGGCAGCCTGGGAAGGGAGGGGCTGTAGCACTGGTCCCCAGAATGCACAAGGTGTCAGATGAGACCGAAAAAGAGTCACAACAATCCAGTTACTAAATTTTTTTATTATTATTATTATTATGCACTTCTGCTGCCAAATAAAAAAATTTGGGAAATAGATAAAGGAAGACATGGGCAGAGAGAAACAGTCCCAGATTTTCCGAGTGAAAAACATTTTTGGTCAACACTTTCTCAAAGGAAAGCAAAAGCCTATAGTCAGGGGATGCAAGGAGCTAAGCCTCAGTAGCAAATCTTGACAAAACATACAGGACAGGAGGATTTCCACACTGGGCCACAAATTAAAATGGTGGGCCAAGTCCGCTAGAGCACCCTCTGTGCGTTTACAGGAGTCTTGCACAGATATGGAAGATGTAGGAAGGAGATGAAAGAAATACTACAGATGCAAATTAAATTGTGATTTTGTTCAGTTGGCTGCAAGGGTACGCCACACGAGTAGGATTCTGACACAAGTCTAGAAGTTGCACAGAAAGGAAAGGAAAAGAGTGCATCTATATCTAAAGCCCAGAATGTAATGACTTTTAACTTTTCATCATTGGAAAAGAAATGCATCTTGTCACAGCAAGGCACAGGACAGATGGCCAAACCAGGGAACTCGGGGGGGATGAGGCTTTCTTTCAAAATGTCACAGCCCCACGGATGTGACAGGCAATGCAAAAAGGAAGTGGGGCAGGAAAAATACAGGCGAGCTGCCCAACCTCTTGGCATTGGTGACGGTCTTATGGTATAGGGCGCAGGGACAACCAGCAGCAGGGAGGGTGCCTGATGCTCCTAGAATGAATTTAGGGAAGGGGAGCAACCAAAAGCTATCAGAAGGTGGACACTGGACTCCCGTAAAGCCAGCCTGAAGACTCTCGCCAAAGCAGAGGGGGACACAGGAAGGTGTCAGGAGAAATGGGCAAAAACATGAGCTCTTCATAAACCCAGAACAGAGTAAGGAATTGTACAAAAAGCAGAAGTGAGATCAGAGTTTACTAATAATTAAAGAAGCACAGGCATATACAGGCAATGCACAGAACGACCAAATACCAAATTAGCAGCTGATATACTTACTATTACTTTTTCTAACACTGTAGGAAGGACATTGTTTCCTTCTTCATGAAGGTCTTGATCTGTCTTGGTTCATTTTTCCCCCCCAACTAACTTATGTTGCTTAGTCTAGCAAAGAGGACATGTTATAAACATCATAACTATACTTCACAAAACTTGGGGGGAAAAAAAAAAAAGATCAATCACTTCTTAGGTCCAACAGCAACAGAACCAAAAAAAAAAAGTATTAGGCTGAAACTGGAGTAAGAAAGATTTGCATTGGACATTTCTAAATCTCTCCAATGACAGGAATATATGCAACTCCTTATAACATCTAAGAAGGTGGTTGACTCTTAAGGATTTTTTTTGTTTTGTTTTAAAAACCAGGTTATATATCTGTGTGTTGGTGGTGCCTTTTGAAACAGACAGGAACTATATAACCTCATGAGATACCTTACACAGAAGGCAGGATACAGAAACATCAGGAAAACATTGAAATTCCTCCACAAAGGCCCCATCTGGGAATAGCTTTCTGTTTCTGTTTATCCACCACTTTTCCTGAACATTACTCAACACAAAGATTTACCTCTGTTTGCAAGGCAGTGTAAATGCAATTTTACAAAGACAGTACAATAAATAGCAGTGTCTTAAAATAGAGTTTTTCCCAGTTACCTCATCAAGTAAGACAAGTTATCTCATCAAGTAAGACAAACGCTGATGGATACCTTAGAGATTCTTGCTTTCAGCTTCTGATGTTCGCAGAACCCTTGGGACAGACTCAGTACTCAGCATCTTACTAATGAAAAAGTCATAGAACCAGAGAGGAAAGTAGCAGAAGATGCAGAGAGGCACATAAGCCCCTTTTCCAGGGGTGTACAAGCCGTGTGGTCTCTTGGCCAGCAAAGCGTGCAGGACAGCACTCAACACAGGGGAGAGGTTGGCATCGCAGTATGCAGGCATGCGCAGGAGGTAGCTCTTCAGCCCCAGGAGGTAGTCCTCACCATAGTCTTGCTTTGTGTCTGCTGGAAGGTTCTCCATCAGCTCCTTTTCTTGCTTATCCCACAGGTCAGATGTGCCCTGTATACCTGCAGTAGCGACATCACAGGATAGCAAGTGGGTTAGGGGCTGAATTGAAAAAAAAATTCATCTATAATTAATGGTCAGTAAGTTGTTCTCCACCACCACCACCCTGATTCACAGTTGTTCTAAACTGGGTCAGCAAAGAACAGACCGAACAGCTGGTTAGCTGTGAGTGCTTTTACCTGGAAGGGAAAGGAAAGCACAAAGCACAGACTGCACAAAATGCACAGGGTTCATGGACTATGTGGCTACCAGCTCTACCTAAAAAGGCACTCTCACAGCCAACCCAGCATTTTTTCCTTCCCCTCCCACCCCTTTCCATTCTGTCTTTATTTTGTGGGTATTTCTAATATATTTATTAACAGATGTGAGCGACTGAGGAAAGACAGGCAAACTAAGATGAACAGGATTCACTTGGGTTGGCTGAGTGCTAAGCTCCTCCTTCACAAGTGACATCAGTATTTCAATAACTAGTTTCATGAAGGATAAGGCTTATATTAGGCCAGATTTAAAAAAGAAAAAAAAATAATCTATTTTTGCCCCATCTGCATCATGTAGGAACAAAAGCAGTAGCTTTTCCCATGCATTTATTGCCTGTCATGAATTAAGCATTGCAAATAAAGAAAAACCTTTAAATAAATATTTAAATCTCAAATTCTGGGACTTGTTTTGATGCATGAAGTTTTCATCCAGAAGTCTGACAACAGATAAGTGGGGTCCTGGAAGTAAAACCTCAGGCAGGTACCACAGACCACAGGGGTGCTGTCAGAGCCCAGTGCCCCGCAGGGCCCCTCCCTCAGAGGGGAGGCATTCAAGGGCGTGGGGTTTTATGAAAAAGACCGGTTTGCTTTTCATCAACAAAAAAATTGTCTCCATGTAGTGACCAGGACATTCTGAGTAGGCAGTAGTAGGACTCAATGTCATCTTCAGGTAGCTGTCAGGCACGTCCACAGAGCAGGGACTTATGTGACAGCCGCCCTGCTCCCAGGTAGGCACAGGGTGCAGCTGGAGCCAAGTCTGTAACCCAGGCAGGCTCTGCAGAAAGTGCTCAGAGCAATGGAGGGAGGATTTGGAACAGAAAACAGAAGGAGCACAGAAGAGGGAAGGAGTAGAGAGGAAAGCTCAGGTCTATATGGAGTAATATTGACAGCAAGCAAGCAGGATGACAGGTATTGCTGCAGATACTTTGACGCAAGACTGAGCAGCTCAATAAAGAGAGTTCTGATATTGAGAAAGGTAGGACTGACAGTGAGTCCTGAAGCTCTCATGCAGGACAAGCAAGTCATAACACCCTAATCAACCACACAGCGATGCTCTTTAAATTTCAGCAAAGCTAGAGCAGAGGGAAAGCACCGGTTGCCTGACCACTGCTCTGTCTCAAAGCAAAGAGAGCTCTCCCCTCCGCCCAGGAGAAGGGCAGAGGCAGTGTGCAGAACTGGAGGGAACAGCTCTCACAAAAAATACGAATCTTAATTTCCATAAC